TAGCTATCTTTTCTTGCAGTGCCAAAAACGGTCGTTGTGTTTTCAACTGGAATAAAATATACGAGACAATTATCGACCACAGCCAGACCCACATACACATAAAACCAGAAACCGTGGGACCACAGACCCATGGGCTCATAGAGCCCCAATCACAAATGGAGCACATTTCGAGCGTAAAGGATATCTTTATCGAAGATCAAATTAAGGCAAAGGAAAAAACGAGCTGAATAACGAAAGTTTTCTGTGGAAGTATGATTGTAACCGCGGACTATATATATTGCGTTCGACAAAACTTCTATTTTCGAATACATATTCACAAAATGGTAGCCATCACCTGGTATTCCGCGATTATCAAAACGATATACTTACTTATATCTGGAGCATCCAAAAAGAGTTCTCCATGGGCCTGAAAGTATGGTCTGAAGAAGACCCGAGATGCCATGGACCAGGAAGGACCTTCGTTTGGGTACAGGATAGCTTGTTGAGGAATTCCATAGGCCAGGAAAAAAACCACCATGATCAGAAGAAAATACATTAAATCCACAGCCTAAGGAGTCAAAAGATATTAAATAAAGAATGTTTTGCAAGGCCAGAATGGTCAATGCCCTGACACGCATTACACACCATCAAGCAAATAAGCAAACAGCAACAATAAAAAAGTTGCTAAAGAAATACGAAAAAGCTGCAATGGTGTGTTTCCCGCACTTCCTAAATATTTTTATGACTCAAAAATAAAAGAATATCAAGGTAAATTTTCCTGAATGTGTTTTCTTTAATTGCCTCAAGTTTCTTTTCAAAATGTGAAATTTCTGATGTAAAAGTAATTTTTTATTCAGTTACTTGACTTTCAAACAGAGCCGGTTAGCATTTTTATGATGAGAATATATATAACCTAGAAATAGCATTGCTTTTACTCATTACCCTGTAAGTTCAATTTGGTTACTAAAATGCGAGAGCTATACGCTGTTCACTGGGTCGTATTTAATATAACAGGCCCGTAGCAGGGGCAGGGGCAGGGGGGGCTCGAGCACCCCCAGAAATTTTCAGACTTGAATTAAATTCCGCTACAAAAGTGGAATTTTTCTACTGAAATGGACAGCTGTCAATGGAAGCTAAAGTTTCAAAGTATTGTCAGTCATAGTAAGATTATGTACTGTTGTTCTTCTGTGCAATTTGGAATTGTGTAAATGAACGAAATCGTATTTTTGCTCTGCCAAAAACAACCAACAGCGTTAAAATATCTGCTTATTAAGCATCAAAATAGTCAGAAGCAAAACGGATCGAAATGAACCAATGACAATCCTCGAACTTGACTTCTTGAACTTTATTGGTTTCCTAAGAGGTCCGCCAGTGTAAAATATACTGTACTAGAGTAAAATTCAGGTTTTTGCGCGTTTATATTGAAAGTCTTGCAATGTCTTCGCAACAGCCGCCGAAAAAGAAATCCAAACAAGTCGAAAATAAGCAGGGAACACTTTTATCGTGGGTAAAACCATGCACTAGTGACACAGAGCTTGGTGTAGTCTAAGAAACAATCCGAATCAAAGAACAACCCAAAAGCAATTGTTTGGCAAATTTTCCACGAACGATATCCCAAACAAGTTCTCTATTTCGTCAAAGTCAACACAAACGGAAAATTAGAGACAAGAACAAAAGGTATTGTAGACAAATGTAGTGATCTGACATGTACCAAGAAGTACATGCTTTAACCGAGGGTCCAAAGTGTGTGTGTGTGTGTGTGTGTGTGTGTGTGTGTGTGTAGGGGGGGGAGTTAATGTGGGCCACTCGCTCAGCCTCCCCCCCCCCCAGTCATTTTATGCTTGCTACGGGCCTGTATAATCTAGTAGTTATGAAGCCCGACAAGTTTACCATGCCTTGCGCTCAAAGCATTCCAACCAGGTTGGACTGAATCCCCGTTATGTTTTGCCCACTTTCAATTGGCCACTTTCCTTTTTTACTTTGACTATTTATGTCAACATGTGACACTTGTATACTGTAACGATCACAATTATGTAAAGGATATGAATCATGCGTGCCTACAAATAATGCAATGTAGTAAATTTGAACTCCAAATAGAGAAATTACTAGGTAACCGGGCGTGTAACTTTGAAGCTAAATATTTAAATGATCTTCAATAACTGTCGTCCCTTACCATCCTGCCAATCATCACCACGTAAGGTCCCATGTGTTTGCTAACATAAAAAAAGTGCATCAAACGCATAATCCACATAGCCACATCAAAGCAGTAAACCACATGACCTGCATCACGCGTTGGTGGATATAGTCTTAGTCCAAGGCCAATGAAAAACGATACCACTGCGAGGCCGTCGAGACGGTTCCAGTAACTGGAGGCCCAAGTTTTGAATTTGTTTTTCAGTGTTGGTGATTCGGAGTGAAGAATCTACCAAAATCAAAGAAAGACTATCGTCAACTCGTGGGAAAGTTGTTTGGAAAATAATCAAATGGTTAACAACTCTGGTTTTCCCACAGTAAATTGTGAGAAATGATAGAAGTTCAGATTGTTTATCCATATATTTAATATACTATCTTTTCTCTGGAAACACAATACTTTTCTTACTGTTTATTGCACTTTATTAAATAACAGTTATGTATTAAGGTATATATTTATAGAAAAACCAGAAAACAAAAACGGGGAAAAAAAAGAAAGAAGGAAGGAAGAAAGAAAGAAAGGTCATGAGCAGGACTCGAACCCGGCACCTTCGCCTCGTTGCGACTTTACCTAACCGCTACACCACTAAAACTGATTGTGTCATTCTGGTGAAAAGTATTTTATTTAATGCCTGTGTAAACGCATTTGAAGGCAATGAATGAACGAAAGAACATACATTGTATGCTTTACTGAGCCGATACACCTCGTCTGCGAAGTACGACGCAAAACATATGTTTTCTTACCCCGATTTCCTCTGTTATTTTGAAGCTAATGGTCAAAGTCACATCCATTTCCGGCTCATGCAGGTTCTTAAGAATAGCATGACATGATATTTTCTCATTTTAAGATCACTTTCCAGCAAGCTGGAATTTGTATATCCCCAGTGATCTTGCGGAGTCGAAGAGCAAATGCTCATCTTCTCGTCAACCCAATCCCGAAGTTAACCATCGTACTCATCTGAAAGACTCCTGCGTGTCTTAAATTTGGTAAGACCTCTAACCGTGGTGTAGAAAATTTGCCACAAAGAAAACTCTGAGTCTGAGCAGCGAACGAGCACGTTCTCATAAGAATTCGGACTAGCCTCGACCCAATGTCCGTCTACTACGAGTGTGCGAGTGACTAATTTGCATATCCTTGTCCCTGCAATAACTCGTGGTACGCTCGCGTGTCCCCACGAGTTAAAAAGAGTAATCTTTCATATAAATCGCAAACTGCATTGTTCCGCAGTTTTACTCAATATACACGGTCAAACCCCTTCAGACATGCCAGGACTTGGTGTCAAGTCTAAAACTTGTAGGGCCAAGAGTTGTTTTATTAATTTCCAATGCCTTCGGGTGAACTCATTCTAATAGCCACCAGTTCTTTTAAAATAAAACTTTGTTCGTGGTTTATAAATTTTTTGTATATTTAGATATCCTTTGTAGTTAAAGCTTTTGAATTTCTTAAATCGATTGTAATTTATGCGTTCTCTATAATTTAGTAGTTTTTGTCGTTTGTATGTATATACGTAGTGCAGCCTCTGGCTGCGATGTCCATACCAATAAAGTACCTATCCGTCCATTCATCCATCGATCCCTAGCACTCGGTACTTTAATTTAAAAAAGTGTGTGTTAAAATCTGTCAGCGCCCAACGAGTACCGAACGCGGGGCACTAAAATCAGCAAAATTATACTCTCTTCTCAAAGCAGGTGAAGTTCAATGTATGTAGTACATAAGTGATCTCTTTTTTAACTGTCAAAGAGTCACCAGCTAGGCTAGAGGTCGTTATATACAAGATTGTGTTACCTGTCTGATTTCCTCAGCGCACAAAGTACAAACGAAGATGATAACCACAATTTCGGCGATGGAAGGAATTTTGTCTTGACGAACGAGAACAACGTAGCTGAACAGGGCCAGGAATAACATATAATCAAACTGAAAAGTCAACAACAATAAAAACAATGAACTCAAAATCAGTTGCAAAACCTGTCAACAATCACCTTGCTGAGCAACATGCCATTAACAGACGAAACATCAAACCCACTAGGACTCTGCGACATGTATAACATATTTTACAGACTACTATCAACGACTCACTTAAGAAAGCTGGTTTACTAACTTAGAACAAGTAGCTTTGAATCGCAGTCAACAGTTACCAGCACCGTGCAAACGACTTATTGACGGAATTAAGCAAAACTAAGAACCATAGAACGACTGGACAACTGACAATTTGACTCTGAAGTGGATTAAAGCCTTCCTTGAAAATCGGCAACAATGCGTAGTGGTCGATGGCGAGAGGTCTAATTTTGTAGCTGTCCTTTCTGGTGTGCCTCAAGGTTCCGTCATGGGTCCAGTTCTCTTTCTGGCAGACATAAACGATCCCCCAGCAGAACATAAGATCAAGGGTTCACCTATTCGCCGACGATACCATTCTCTATTTGACTATCACAAGTGAAGATCACCGCAGACAGCTCCAGGATGACCTTGAAGCGCTACAGAAATAGCAGGCAACTTGGAGGATGGAGTTTAATGACACTAAGTGGGAGGTGTTCCGGATTTCGCCGTCTAAAACCCCAATCCAATATACTTATTACCTGCATGGCACTCCACTAAAGGAGGTTGATCACGCGAAATACCTAGGTGTGTGGTTCTCAAAAGATTTCAAGTGGAATCAACACATTGACGAGATAACAGCCAAGACAAACCGCACGCTTGGCTTCCTTAAAAGAAACTTAGTAGTATAGGAGGGACCGTTTACTCCACTTTTTTGCGCAGGAATTTCATTAACTTGGGCAGGAATACATTAACCGCCAATAACGTCATAACCTTTTGTCTTTATCTCATGAATAAAATGCACAGGAATCTCATTAAGATAAGGTCGTGTGCTATTTTTAGTTGGTTTAGGTTTTCTAGTTACTTTAAGGTCGATAAACGTCTTCGTTTTCGATTGGTTAGTCAGAAAATAAGAAACGTTTTCATTGGTTAATTCATAGTGTCTGAGGAGTAAAGTCAAACTTGTCTGTGACTTAAATCACTGAGACGTAACATAATTATGCAAGTCCTATCTCCTACTGCCGCGATTGTCCTAGTTCCGGTTCACTGATTTTTGACGGGCAAATCGTGCATATTAATGAGGGCAAAGGCAAACTAGCCCTTTTTTAGCACGAAAGACAATGCTTTACCTACCCGTCTCCCTTTTCATTTTTATTTTCCTCCTCAATTTTTTTATTCCTTCCTCCACAATTTTATTATTTTCCCTCCTCATTCTTGATTCCCCTCCCTCTCCACAATATTAATCTTTCCCCACCTCCTCCTCATTCTTTTTTATCCTCCCCCTTCACAATTTTACTTTTCCCTCCTTCCCCATCCACCTCCTCATTTATTATATATATATATATTTATATTTAATTCTATATACTTTTCCATCCACAAATACATCGACCTCCTATCGACCCTACATCAGCCCTACATCGACCCCACATCGACCTCACATCGACCCCATGTCGACACTACATCGACCCCACATCGACCCTAGAATCAACTTTTTTCAATACAGCTTGGTGAATAGGGACTATATACAACTACCAACACATTTTTCCCCTCCTGAATTTTTTTATTCCCTCCTCCACAATTTTATTATTTTCCCTCCTCCATGTTTTTATTGAATCCTCCTCCTGCTCCTCCACCTCCTCCTCATTTTTATTATTCTCTTTCCTCAATGTTTTTATTCCCTCCTCCTCCTCCTCCACCTCCTCCTCATTTCTATTGTTTTCCCTCCTTAATTTTTTGGAGAGCACGAAAGATGCGTAAGAGTTGCACCTCGAGCAATCCTAGCTTCTTGAGTGCTCTCCAAACTTTCCAAGTGCATCCATAACTCGATATACGCACAGTTAAAAGCATGAGCAAATTCTTTTATACCATAGCTGAAAAAAAATGTTTGCTTTTCGATCAACTACAAAATTCTGTAAAATTGAGAAAGAAAATTTGCTTATTTATTCGTTAACGATCAATGAAAACTAAGAAGAAACCAAGGTAAAATAGTCTTAAAGTCCACCTAAAGTTAAAATACTCACATGTTTGTAAGAAGTCGTGGAGTATGGTTTGGATTTGCTGAAAAATATGTTTATTTTTTGCTCGGCGAAATCCAGAAAACTTGTTTTTTAGGGGTGTCTTGAAGACAAAGACCCCTAAGACCCCCCACCGAATGACTCTGAACTTTATTGATTGGGGTTAAGAAACTGAGTTAATCAACTTTCAGGTCAGTTTGTCCAGTATAATGACTTAAATGGAACCCGATTCACTCAGTTTCCTAACTCTAATCAGTAAAGTTCAGAGTCGTTCGGGTGGGGGTCTTAGGGGGTCTTAGGGGTCTGTTTTCAAGACACCCGTTTTTTAGCGAAGACGACTGTCATCCTACTTTAAACTTATCTTCATTTACGAACAATGGCTGGTCATTACGGCTTCTTGAGAAGACCTGGCAGAAGTTTTTTTTTGAGTAATAAATTTATGTCTTCTTGTGTAATTTGTCTTGTTATTGAAAGAGAAGTTTTCCTGCTTCAGTCGGATTGTTCGGCGATAGCAAAAGTGCACAATTTTCGCTGTTGAGCTTATTTTATAATTAACTTGTTTTGTATAGGATATAAAACAAACGTTAAAAACGGAGGACACTTAATACAAATTGGATATTTTCCGACACAGACCAATTAGTGGTCTTTTTCCACTCAAACGTCAGTCTTAGCGGCAGACATTTTCAACCAATTATTCAGACGCTATTATTTGCGAAACATCTGCACCGCTTTTCCTATTGGTTTGAGTTTGAGTGGCTAGAACGAAGCTAAATTCCAAAAGAAGTCTAGAAAGTTTTTTTAACATTGCCTTCGATTTTTCGGTACTTAGTAAAAGAGACGAAAAACACAACTAAACACATCGTCATAAACAAAATCTTTATTTACGCACGGGCGTGTGTAAATAAAGATTTTCTTCATAGCGGCTCAATAGGACATATATAGGGCAAGCATGCGCGCTATGTTATGATAGTCTCTTTTTCTTAAATACGTGTCTTGTTAGTTGTCCTACCGTGGGTTGTGACTACGATCTCCCGACTTTCAGACTTGTCAGCTCTACCAACTTAAGTAGAACGAGCACCGGACTACAAAGTCCTTAGATGTGGTCGATTTATAATATTTCACCATAACTTGTATAAATCTAGACATACCGAGTTCCTTAATCCCTTGTACTGTTTGTCGGGGACAACTTAATTGTTCATATCTAATAAATTACATAACCTTTTGAAAAATGCTACAACTTATCCAGGACTTTATTTAAAATCTTAAACTGGCTAAAAGTCTCAAAGACAAACAAATAATCAAACAAAAAAAAGTCGTCCCTCACCACGTTGGCCCAAAATTTAGTTGCTGGAGCATGGTAGAACGCTATAAATTTTTCCCACCACTTCAATTTCCTCCACAGGAATCCTTTTTCTTTTTCACGCCATACTATATTCGGGTCGAATTTACTCACTGAGAAAATGTTTCTAAGAGAGAATTAATACAGAAACTATAGTTACTCATAATGCTGTTACAATTCCTTTTTGTAAACGCAGACTTAAGAATGATATTCAGTGACCTTTGAACCTTTAATACTCCTTTCCACCCTCTGGTTCAGAATTAATGGCAATTATTTGTTCCACAGTAAATTGAGTGGAAAGTACGATGTTCTATCTTTGAGAAGCTCATTAAAGGAAAATCGAAACTTTATGTTTAAACATTTACAAAGCTGCTGCTATATAGTTTTAGAAGTTAAATTTCTATAGACAATAGAGTTCTAAAGTGATGACGTCGTAAAAATTGAATTTGTGAAATTGTGGGATTTGTCAAGATATTCTAAAAGAACAACATCTAGGAGGCCTACTTCCCGAAAACTAGCATTTCGGAGCAAGTTGTGTCTGAGATATTAGCCCAGTTATGCTCCGATGACTCCATACAAATCCTTCTAAATTTGACTCAGTTTGCCACATTAGGAGCTGAGTCAAATTTAAAGGGATTTGTATGGAGTCATCGGAGCATAACTGGGCTAATATCTCAGAGACAGTTTGCCCCGAAATGCCAGTCTTTGGCAAGTAGGCCTCTTAGATGTTGTTCTTTAGATGTTGTTCTTTCAGAATATCTTGACAAATCCCATAATTTTACAAACTTCCTCCAATCAAATACTAAGCAACAACAACCTCAACGTTATTCACGTCTCTCAATAGGCAAAGTGCTCGAATTGTATTAAGAGAGATTCTGCACACATACCCTTTTTCACTTCCTTCATTCGCTCCATTTTCAGGGACGTCTGAGCTGGGGATGGGACTGTCCGTTCCAAGATTCTTTTGTTTTTCCGGTAGTTGATGAAACTCAAGTGAAAGTACTGTGATGGGAAACACAAGCCCTAATACGATCTAATGGGATAAAATACAGACGCAAAAAAAATACTCAGGAGCGGACTCATGCAGTCTACAGAGACCAGAACCGAAGATCTGCTTGGCGTTCACATAATAATTGGGTAGCTTTAGCAACGACGACGACGACGGCAGCGAAAACGTCACCGTTTAAAGGACTTCTCTATTCTCATACTTTGTTGCAATTATTCCAACTCGCTAAAAATGTTCAATTAGGTGAATTTTTCTTAGGGACGAACAAAGTTTAAAAGTGGAAAGAGAAATTCGTGGTCGTGGGTTTTAATAGAGAACTTAGGCAACGACGACGACGACGGCAGTGAAAACGTCATTGAAAAGTGAATTTGCGTTTTTAAAACTTAATCGTGTTTATTTGGTCCCGCTCAATATGTCAAATGCGGGCGACTTTTCCTTGAGTTGAATTCTTAAGGATTTTATTCAGGATCAAAAAGAGGAAGGAAAATTCGTCGTCTTACGTCCACGTCCTCCATAAAACGTCAAATTAGGAGGTTTCACGTCGTAGTCGTGCAGTGGACGTCAAAGAAATCTACTAAAAAGCGTGATGCAGGTATAGAGCTGTTGTTTTGATCATTAAACCTATTGTTTTTTGAAGTTGTCGTCGTCGTCGTAGTAGTTGCTGAAGCTCCCTAATAGGGACCTTACGAAATTACGACGGCGACGGTAAGGAGAACGTCAAAAACGCGATAGGTTTAATGAACAAAACAACAACTCTGCACGTACATTACGCTTGTTTGTACATTTCTTTGCTGCCCCTGTACAACTACAAGGCCTCTGGGTACGATGGCCTAAGCGTAAGTTTTCAAGAAAATTGCAGCGGTGTTTGCAAATCCTTTATGGAAATTACTTAATCTTTCAATATCGACAAACAGTTTTCCTAACCACTGGAAAATAGCTGAAGTCACACCACTGCACAAAGGAGCGGCATGAAATGATAGCAACAATTATCGCCCCATACCGGTTTTACCTATCCTTTCGAAAATTCTCGAAAAGAACGTGGCCAGCTCTCTATCTTTTTTCTTACGCGATAATAAATCATTATACGAGCTGCAATCAGCCTTCAGGTCAGGACACTCAACTGAAACAGCCTTGATCAGACTCACGGATCAGATTCTAAAAAAACATGGACAATCACGAAGTGACGGGTTCTGGTTTTTATAGATTTCCGAAAAGCTTGTCATTGATCATGAACTTCTTCTAAAAAAGTTGTCTATCTACGGTGATACCCTTTCTTCTGTTGCCTGGTTCAAATCTTACTTGTTTGAGAGGAAGCAGTTTATTTCCTTAGGGAAAACTACGTCTAACTACGGTTAAGCAAGGTGTGCCCCAAGGGTCAATCCTAGGTCCGGTGCCCTTCCTTTTGTCCGTCAACGATATGCCCTTCCACGTCCAAAAGTCAACATGGACATTTATGCAGATGCCACCACTTTATCGTTGAGTTCAAACTGGAAAACCCTGCCATTACTAAATCAATCTTTGTCACAGGATCTTAGTGAAGTAGAGAGGTAGGCTAGAGAGAACAAAAGGTATATGAATGTGCAAAAAAACTAAAGCTTTGTTGGTAACGGAGAAGCGTCTACGAAAGCGCATGGTCCAAGATACAGGAAAAATGGGAGTAAAAACGGATAACACAGAAATTGAACAAGTCGCAAACCATAAACTTCTTGGTATGATCATTGATGAAGATCTAACTTACGAAGTGCATGTTGATAAACTCTGCGACAAACTTTCGAAGCGACTCGACCTTTCACGCCAGTAGTATAGTACATGGCAGCACCGGCGCATATCATATATTATGGATTTGACCCTGGGTTTTTGATGACGTCAGCATTTTTTCCGAATTGGATTCCAGGAATTTGACCTTAGGAATCCGGTTTGTAGGGACTTAAAGAAATAATGCTTTATTTTTAGTATGCAGAATATAAACGCAGATATGAAAAATTTTATCTGTAGTAATAATATAATGAGTCGACGTAATGAACTTATAAGAAGATAGTTATCTGGGCTTACAGATAGTGAGCTCGAGAATTTAGTACGAGTGAGGGAAGAAGCACACCCTGTATCTGTTAGAAGCACTCCAATTCCAAAGCCAAGAAGGAATGTACAACAATTAATCCGATATTTTTAGAATAATCCCATCCCACCATATAGACCCATTCCAGCTCCCAGAGCAAAGAAACAGCAGCCAATAGCAGTACCACCGACAAAAATTGGTGAAAAACGGAAGGCTCTTTAAGGGCTTCACTAAATCATATGAGATCGGTTTGAAGACTGATAGAGATGCTTTGGTGCAGCTTCAAAGTACGAGACTAGCAATTAGTAGATTATTTAACACTATACTCAATAATACAAAAGGTTTCAAATTTGTGGAGAAGTAAAAAGTAACATTTGTGAAGAGAAAGGATGATGATCATATTTATAAGCCAGCTTATTTCAATAGTAGAGCGCAAATAGTAATTAATCCTAACGATTTTTTATCAAGCTTGCAATTATCACAGCAACAAATATTAAACGGTATTGGTGTTTGGTTGTCTGAGGGCAGTGGTTGGACTGTTAGTAGTATTAATGAACATTATCATTATATAAATACAGTAGTGTATGAGCCGATGAGAGGTAATTCCTATATTCCTCTACCGGTAAAATTACAGAATTCTGCTAAGGGGCTAATCGATCTTCAAAATAAGGATAATGAATGCTTTCGCTGCTGTCATATACAATATTTGAATCCGCAAGAAAAGGATCCCCAGCGGATCAAAAAGACTGACAGAAAAATGGTCCAGGAATTAAACTACCAAGGAGTGGAATTCCCTGTCGCTGCTAAACATTATGGTAAAATAGAAGAGCAAAATAGCATTAATATTAGCGTGTTTGGTTATGAGAATGAGCAATTTTATCCAATTCATGTCTCAAAGCATAAAAACGAGAAAGTATTGAACCTGCTGTTGATTACACAGGGAGAGAAGCAACATTATGTCCTTATTAAGGATTTTAATAAGATGATGTACAATAAGACTTAACACCAACACCGTAAACATTTTTGTATGTTTTGTCTCCAGTGTTTTAGCACTGATGAGATACTGGCAAAAGATAGGAGCAATTGCATGATAATAAATGGCGAACAGACAATAAGGATGCCCGAGGAGGGCAGTACGGTCCAATCTCAGAACTATCATAAGCAGATGCCAGCACCTTTTTTAATTTATGCAGATTTTGAGGCAATTACAGAGAAAGTATCTGGATGTCAACCAGATGGTGTTAAACCTTATACTGATAAGTACCAAAAGCACACTGGCTGTAGTTATGGTTATAAAGTAGTCTGTTGTTATGATGACAAATATTCAAAACCAGTGAAAATTTATCGAGGGGAGAAATCTATTAGCTACTGCATATTGGATATGCTCTTGGAAGTAGAATATTGCCAAAAAATAATTGCTACTGAGTTCCAAAAACCACTCCATATGACAGACGAGGAGGAAGAATTATTCAAGGCTGCCGAGGAACGCCATATTTGTGGGGAGAAATATTTAGATACTGAAGTAAGAGTCAGAGATCATTGTCACATCACTGGACAGTATAGGGGATCAGCACACCAGGACTGTAATTTGAAGCTGAGAATTGTGGCAGATAAATTCAAGGTGCCAGTCATTTTTCATAATCTGTGTGGGTATGATTCCCATTTTATAATGCAAGAAATTGGATCAATCGGAAAAAGTAACAATTTGAGCATTAATTGTATCCCGAATAATATGGAAAAGTATATGGCTTTCATGCTGGGTAAATACTTAGTATTTCTGGATAGTTTTCAGTTCGTGGCTAGTAGTTTGGAGAGATTGGCCGCCAATTTACCTACCAATGCGTTCAAGTATACCAGTCAGATGTTCCAAGATGAGAAATTAGCACTGATGAAACAGAAAGGAGTGTATCCTTATAATTACATGGACAGTTTTCAGAAGTTTGGTGACCAGCAACTACCTCCAAAAGAGGAATTTTATAGTATTCTTACAGATGAGGGTATTTCTGATGCACAATATCAACATGCCAAAAAAGTCTGGAATACTTTTAATATGAGGACACTGGGCGTGTATCATGATCTGTATCTGAAATCTGGTATTCTCCTATTAGCTGATGTTTTTGAGAACTTTCGTAAGACCTACCATCAGTATTACAAAGTAGATCCCTGTCACTATTTTACATCTCCTAGGCTATCCTGAGACACTATGTTGAAAATGACCGGTATAAAATTAGAGCTTATGACGGATGTTGATATGTTTCAGTTTATAGAAAAGGGATTACGCGGCGGTATTTCTTATATTGCTAACCGCAACGGCGAAGCTAATAATAAATATATGAGCGGGTATAATCCAGAGAAACCAAGTAAGTATATTATGTATCTAGATGCGAATAACCTTTATGGATGGGCGATGTCTCGATATTTACCAACAGGTGGTTTTAGGTGGATGACTGAAAAACAAATACAAAAAGTTAATATGGCTGCTTGTGCAGAAGACAGAAAAAAGGGTATGATTTTAGAAGTCGATTTGGAATATCCTAAAGAATTACATGAGCTGCATAATGATTATCCTCTAGCCGCGGAGAAAATAGAAGTTACCAAACAAATGCTTTCCCCTTATTGCAAAAATATTTAGGAGCAGTTTGGAATAAATATTGGCCAGGTGCACTAAGCTAATTCCAACACTATCTAGTAAAAAGAATTACGTGTTACACTACAGAAATCTACAACTCTATTTGTCTCTTGGTCTCAAACTGAAGAAAGTACACAGGGTATTAGAATTTGACCAGTCTCCCTGGCTCGCACAGTACATTAATTTTAACACCCAAAAGAGGATGAATGCTAAGAATGCATTTGAGAAGGACTTCTTCAAATTATGAAATAATTTCGTATTTGGAAAAACCATGGAAAACATAAGAAAGCGCGTTGACGTGAGATTAGTGACTGCTCAAAAGAAATTATCCAAACTTGCAAACAAGAAACATTGACACTCGACCGGCCACATAAGCTGGCCGGTCGAGTGTCAATGTTTCTTTGATCTTATGAACCACCACAAGGTCCTCACTAAAGATCTTACTGTTAACAAACGTCGGCTTGCTTGCAAGTTTGGATAATTTCTTTTGATCAGTCACTAATCTCACGTCAACGCGCTTTCTTATGTTTTCCATGGTTTTCCAAATACGAAATTATGGTGTCAGAAAATATGTCATCAAAAAGAATATCGCACATGACAATTATAAAGATTGCTTATTGAATGGGAAACAAATATTACATAGCATGCGCACAATTGGAAGCTACAAACTAAATAAGATTTCATTGTCCTGCTTTGATGATAAAAGATATACCCTTGCAGATGGTAAAACTAGTTATGCATATGGTCACTATAAAATATTAAATTAATAGCTCTAAAGCTGAGGTCATACTCTTATTAAAAAAAATTATTAAAACTGGTGTCCAGCTATATAAGCGAATTGATAAACTTGATAAAAAAGCTAAAAATCAAAGACGATTCTATTTTGATGCTATTGTTAATGGTAAAATAGAATATTCTGAAGCGAGATATAAAACAACAAATAATTCACGAGATAATTTGTTTGCTCCATTTCTTGTGAAGAGTCAGTAATAACTACGTAATCCTTTGAAGTAGTAGGAGCTGCTAACCGCTGAAGACGTTTACTTGTCTTTCGAGCCTTTTTTTGCTGAGCCACATGGAACCGTTTTATTTTAATGGCTTTTTCCTTAATGGCTTTTTTAATTTGCGCTTCAAATTTTCTTCTTTTTGTTTCTTCGTTTGCTGCTTGCCGTGCATACTCCAGTACTCTCGACAATTGCGGAAACAGCGATAAAAATGCATCAATTTATAATCTATAATCTTTAATTAGATTTGAAGATAAAAATCTAAATATAGTATATAGTAATGTGTGATAAAGAAGTTCACGAGTTATTGATCCAGGAAAGTCATATTAATTGTACCTTTTGAAATAAACAGATCCAGGACCCCGGTAAGCCCAAGCGATATTTTTGCTGCGAAAATATGAAACTGGTAAACGATAAACTTCTTTTGTAAAAATTATGGCCAAGTACATGATTATTTAACAGCAGACGAGTATGTGGATTTTTATGAAAATAGATACAGAATAAAAAGAAAGTCCGTATATCACAGAAAATATCATATTTTGAATGTTATCAATGATATTGCAGAAAATAATAATATACAAGTTGGCTATTATAATAGAGAGGAGATTCTGAGAATATTTCGGTTGATTGGCCAAGTTACACCGCAAGTCAATAATTTTCGTCGAAAACGGCTTATTAGTGTAAATTATATAATAAAACAACTATTTGACATTTTAGGAGTAGAAAACAAGATTATTCCTCTTACTCAGTCAAAAAATACACTAAAATATTATGAAAATTGGTGGGAGAGAGTTTATTCCTTAATCAAGGCTGATATTAGCCGTCTGGTTTCTCAGAATTTGGACCGGAAGTAGGGGAAGCCCCTATGACTCATTGATCGAGAGACCCTGAGGAAGAGGTTGTATCTCGGGTTAACTTATACGGAGGACTATCCTGTACACATTATTTTTTGTATGAGGGCTCAATTTTGTCTCCAAATCTTTGACCATCTTTACAGTGGCTGCTGAATTATTTTTAGTCTGATCAGGAAAAATGTTTAATATTTTCTTTCTGTTCATATCCAGATCAACATTGTAAACAACTTTTGTTAGTTTGATATCAAACGCTGTATGGTTATCATACGTTTTTTGGGGATCAATCGATGACACTTTTCCGAAAACACCATAACCAATCATCCAGTTTTTTTGTCCAATTTTTTGGGTAGTTGATGAGATCAATGCCCCATTGGGGTATATTAACATAAAGATCCAGACAGTTTTTTGAAAGTTTACAATTATTTTGATATAATACATATACGCAGTGTTCCCACTACTATTTGTGTACCGGTGAGAAAACTTTTGTACCGTAAAACCAGCAACTGATACCCCCTTTGATGTGGTTTTATCAATTCTAGCAACTGATTTATACCATAATTGGTAATCTGAATGAGGATTTCAGTACACAGAGTATAATCTTTATCTTTATCAAGTTGATAACAATTGATTCCCATTTTATAAGAGTATCCTCCTTGCTTATCTTCTATAATTGTTGTATATAGAATTTTGTTGTTGTATTGATGGTAGTTACCATCTTGGGGCATTAAATTATCAATTTTAGTAATGTCAAAATTATCCGCCTGAGGATCAGTCCATGCTAATTTATTAGTCATCAGGTACTTGAATTCACTATTGTAATTGCTGGGTTTAACATGAGATTTTTTCAAATAATGCTTATTAATAGCATCAGTAGCATCAGTCGGGTCAACTAGATTGTAAATCCTATTATTGACCATATTAAATTGGTGGTAAACATATGGATTAGTAATTTGTACAAAAAAAGCATTTCAAGTGTTCCGGCTTATTGCTTGATATTGAGATTCTATTTTGATGCTATTGTTAATGGTAAAATAGAATATTCTGAAGCGAGATATAAAACAACAAATAATTCACGAGATAATTTGTTTGCTCCATTTCTTGTGAAGAGTCAGTAATAACTACGTAATCCTCTGAAGCAGTAGGAGCTGCTAACCGCTGAAGACGTTTACTTGTCTTTCGAGCCTTTTTTTGCTGAGCCACATGGAACCGTTTTATTTTAATTGCTTTTTCCTTAATGGCTTTTTTAATTTGCGCTTCAAATTTTCTTCTTTTTGTTTCTTCGTTGGCTGCTTGCCGTGCATACTCCAGTACTCTCGACAATTGCGGAAACAGCGATAAAAATGCATCAATTTATAATCTATAATCTTTAATTATATTTGAAGATAAAAATCTAAATATAGTATATAGTCATGTGTGATAAAGAAGTTCACGAGTTATTGATCCAGGAAAGTCATATTAATTGTATCTTTTGTAATAAACAGATCCAGGACCCTGGTAAGCCCAAGCGATATTTTTGCTGCGAAAATATGAAACTGGTAAAGGATAAACTTCTTGTGTAAAAATTATGGCCAAGTACATGATTATTTAACAGCAGACGAGTATGTGGATTTTTATGAAAATAGATACAGAATAAAAAGAAAGTCCGTATATCACAGAAAATATCATATTTTGAATGTCATCAATGATATTGCAGAAAATAATAATATACAAGTTGGCTATTATAATAGAGAGAAGATTCTGAGAATATTTCGGTTGATTGGCCAAGTTACACCGCAAGTCAATAATTTTCGTCGAAAACGGCTTATTAGTGTAAATTATACAATAAAGCTATTTGACATTTTAGGAGTAGAATACAAGATTATTCCTCTTACTCAGTCAAAAAATACACTAAAATATTATGAAAATTGGTGAGAGAGAGTTTATTCCTTAATCAAGGCTAATATTAGCCGTCTGGTTTCTCAGAATTTGGACCGGAAGTAGGGGAAGCCCCTATGACTCATTGATCGAGAGACCCTGAGGAAGAGGTTGTATCTCGGGTTAACTTATACGGAGTACTATCCTGTACACATTATTTGTTGTATGAGGGCTCAATTTTGTCTCCAAATCTTTGACCATCTTTACAGTGGCTGCTGAATTATTTTTAGTCCGATCAGGAGAAATGTTTAATATTTTCTTTCTGTTTAACATTGTAAACAACTTCTGTTAGTTTGATATCAAACGCTGTATGGTAATCTTACGTTTTTTGGGGATCAATCGATGACACTTTTCCGAAAACACCATAAGCAATCATCCAGTTTTTTTGTCCAATTTTTTGGGTAGTTGTTGAGATCAATGCCCCATTGGGGTATATTAACATAAAGATCCAGACAGTTTTTTGAAAGTTTACAATTACTACTATTTGTGTACCGGTGAGAAAACTTTTGTACCGTAAAACCAGCAACTGATACCCCTTTTGATGTGGTTTTATCAATTGTAGCAACTGATTTATACCATAATTGGTAATCTGAATGAGGATTTCAATACACAGAGTATAATCTTTATCTTTATCAAGTTGATAACAATTGATTCCCATTTTTTAAGAGTATCCTCCTTGCTTATCTTTTATAATTGTTGTATATAGAATTTTGTTGTCGTATTGATGGTAGTTACCATCTTGGGGCATTAAATTATCAATTTTAGTAATGTCCAAACTATCCGCCTGAGGATCAGTCCATGCTAATTTATTAGTCATCAGGTACTTGAATTCACTATTATAATTGCTGGGTTTAACATGAGATTTTTCCAAATACTGCTTATTAATAGCATCAGTAGCATCAGTCGGGTCAGCTAGATTGTAAATCCTATTATTGACCATATTAAATTGGTGGTAAACATATGGATTAGTAATTTGTACAAAAAAAGCATTTCAAGTGTTCCGGCTTATTGCTTGATATTGAGAGGTAAGGATAGCATTGTTTAATATTATATGGCCAGTTACAGTGCCACCAGACAGTTTCAAATAATTATCATATATGTATTTCTTATTAACCCTATCTTTATCATCAGTTGGTTTGGCAAGATGAGTAGTTTTATTATTGGACATATTTAGTGATCCTGCCATAACTCCACTGGATTTATCAAGGAATTTATTTTCTGACCATATTTTTGTAGCTGGTTGATTATCACCATTTGGTTGTGCTACATTGTATATCCTTTTGCTATTCATATCCAAATTGCCGGTCATTAATCCACCAGAAAGTGATAGTTTAGTATCAAGTTGCAGTTTGTTTTACTGCATCACTGGAGTCAGTTCCTTTAGCCATATTTGTCAGTTTTTCGTTTGTCATATCATAATTTTCATCTGATGTGAGATTAAAACCAGTGCCTGATGCACCAGTAGCACCACGAGGGCGAGTGGGGACGGTGGGACCAATAGGACCAGCCGCAACAGTAGGGCCAGTAAAGCACCGAGGCCCACGAACACCGGTCGGGCCAATAGGACCATGAACACCAGTAGGGCCTATGGGGCCAATAGGCCCACGAGGGCCAATAGGACCAGCTACACCAGCGGGGCCAGGCGGGCCAGGAAGTCCTTGAGGGCCAGTAATTCCTCGTTTTCCTTTTGAGTATGATTGATTATAATTAGGTTGCTGATTAAAAATTCCCCACTACTATTTTATTATTTAGTTATGTCCCTTACATGAAATCCATTTGCTTTTAACAGCTTGGCTTCTTCATTAGTAATTGGATCAAACATCCCAATAACTCTGCCAATAATCCGAGCTTGTTCTAAAGATTCATGTTTGTGATTAAGAAGTTCATATAGACAACCCTCTGATAGATTTTCAAATAATTCAGCAATCATTCTACCATATTTGACATCTTCAATTTTTAGATATACTTCCATATAAATAGATTTTATAAATTTAGTAAGTTGTTCTCTTTGCTCGTAGGTTATTTGATTTGGTTGGATAATTTGTCCAAAAATTGAATCAAGAGCCCGTTTCATATCTAGTATATCTTTTAATATTACAGGATGGAAATCATACAACAATTCAGTTGCCATTAGAGCATATTGGAGACTTTTAAATTTCAAATGTATCTTCATATATTATTGGTTATATAATTATCTACCAGAGAAAGGATAATACATTATATATTTCCATAAAAGTTTCTTTTGACTGTTTTCATTGGTTTGTCAACATACAGGAATGAGTAGGGTTGTTTGGTGGCTTTAATATATTGATCCTTTGTTACATTCAACTCTCTAGAAATCATATTTCTCTCATTACTGCTAGGGAAATCATAAACAACATAATGATTGCAGTTTAATCTGATATCTTTTGGTGTTTTATAAAATGATTGTGACAGGTAAATAACACTACAGTTCTTATGACGGCCTTGAATGAAATAGTCGATAAGCGGCTTTTGGTTTTTATCACAAATGAAGTCATCAAATATTACAATTTTCTGGGCATCACTCTCCAGACTATTGACAGGTTTCAGGCGCGGATCTAGAACAAATACTGATCGATTTCCTATTCTAGGGAGCTCTGGGGGAATGTTCCCCCGGGTAATGTTTTGGATTTTAACTCCGCAAAGTCCCATTTCCTGGGTTTCTGAGTCATTCAGACAGGATATTTAGTGACTGTCCAAACCATTCTCCAGATTTCAACTTGGGAAGTTTACAGTTTATACTAAAAATATATCTATTATGAAATATCTGACCGATTTCCGTAAAACGGTGGAAACCGGTATGGATCCGCGCCCGGGTTTAATGTCATCATTATTGTAATGCATTATGTCATATCCAGCTTGGCCACTGATATCATTCATTGTTTCTATCATATGTCGATACTTTTCCTGTTCCAGGTTTTTACCGTATAAATGAATCTGATCATAATAGACTAATGGTTTCATAAGGATGTGATAAAACAGGTTTGTTTTGCCTGAACCTGAATTGCCGCATATTCGCATCCTAAAATTGGATTTGGGCATATACTTACACAGTTGTTTAAAGTTTGTATTTTCATCTTCATTGAAATCATAAATTGGAATCTCCATATACTATTATGTTAGATAAGTTAAGATAAGTTCAGATAAGTTTTTATATAATGTAATAGTATAATGGATATTGAAAGATTTAAGAGACTCAGTATCCCTAAAATTGAAGCAGGAAAAATAACTGAAGTTGTTAGGGATGTTATAAAGGAAGTTCAAACTAATAAGCAGAATGTTTAGGAAAAGACATCTGAAGATCTGAAACCTCTAACGGAAACGTTTGATAAGGAAATAGAAGAGATCAGTAAATTGAGAGAAGATGTTAATAAACAAGTTGTCCCATACGCCGAGCAAGTTCAAAGATTAGCATTACCAGGCCCAAGTGGTGAGGTGGCCCCTAAGATGGTAGCTGATATGAATAAAGGATTCACTCAAGAAGAATTGGCATTCATACGAAGCCAGCAATTGCCATTACCAGCTGACATCAAACCTTAACCTTGCAAACCTTAAAAGGGCCAAATTATGTGAAACAAATTCTGGATAAATCTGGTAAAATAAATAAAGAATTAGGTCAGAAAAAAGCCAGTTTAAGCACAACAAAAATTAAGAGAAAGAGAAATAAGGATGAAATTGCTGAATATACTAAAGGGATTGACATCATAAAAAAATACAGACAAAGAATTGGTATTTTAGAGGAAGGCGCAAAAACACTGAAAGTTGGTCAGGGTATTTATACACAAAAAAAGAGGAATGCTTATAAGATTAACCCTAATACTGGTGTTTATGGAGATGTAACCATTGACGTGCCCAAACTTTATGGGCAGCTTAAACTAATTGCTCATAAGGATGGTAAAAAAGTATATGATAAGCAAGTGGACTTTGATACCCTTGATCTGCTCACAAAGCGGTTCAATAGTAAAAAGAAGTATTTACCATTATCAAAAATGGTATTTGATGACCTGAAAAGAATAAGTGATATTCCAATTCACCGAACAAGTAATAAATACGAAAAAATGGGTGCAGGTGTTGTTTATTATAATAACCCAGCTGACCTTTTGGACAGATTGGAATTGTTAGGTGGATCCATATTGGCTGGAAATAATGGTGTGAAAAATGAATTTTCCAAAATTGCTCACACACTAAACAAATTAGGTGTTCAAAATAACCCCCAACTTAATAGTCTGTTGAAGGAATATGTAATCCAATAATATAAGTGCAAGAAAGAGCAATCCATATATCATCTGTTGATAGACAGAAAATCGGACAGAATAAAGCAAAAGATTTTATAATCAAATTCGATCCAGTGTTAGAACTCTAAAATAACATGACCTATCAATTGGCACTGGATAAGGTTACTATGACTTACAGTTGGCACAATATTTCAGAACAGTATCAAAATAACGAAATAAAATACTCACCCAATGGTGGCACATCATGGGAAACCGTCAAATTTGTGAATGGAATGAACACTGACACGGATCTAAATGATTATCTCCATCAGTACATGAAAAAGAAAGGCCATCTCACCACTGACGATAAAACTGGCGATAAGTACCACATTGACCTAACATTCGTATTGTCAACATATAAGATTCTCATTCAGATTGACAGCAAGGATTGAGATGAATTTTGAGATTGAGTCGGGTGGTAATCTAATTTGGCAAGCTGGAGCTGATTGCAGAGTGGTGATCACCAGGATGCAATTGTATGTTCCACGGGAAACCTTTAACAGTGAGGGCCAATCATCCTACATGAGTCAGTACCTTAAAAATCATAAGTGGACTTATTTGAGAGAGAATATAGAAAGATCAAATAGTAGCCGCCAGAGAGCTGGACATTTTAGAATCTCAACAGGTATCTCAAAACCCAGACACGTGTTTGTGTTCATAATCAATGATGCTACTATCGATGCCCAGACAGCTAATCCATTCCTCTACAATACATTCTCCGTCTCAACTTATCCAATTGTCACCTGGAAGTCGGAAACGGTAACGAATACCCCGAGATACATTACACACCAACTACTGATATGACCAGAGTCTTTAGGGATGTGTTGAAATATGTTCACAAAAATAATGAATACGGTGAGGGGTCATTACTTAATAAATCTAATTTTAGTATCCTGTTTCCATTCTTATATTTCGACTTAACAAAACAGAAAATGGACATTAAGGATGGCACTACAAAACTAACATTCAAATATGAACTATCAGGAACAACAGCAACAGCCTATTCTATTTACGCATTAACATTATATGAGCAAGATGTTGAGCTAATTCAAAAAGATGGTAAAATAATACTCAGATCGTAAATTGAATATGGTTAAAATTATGTAACATATATTATATACAAGTAATGACGAAATATTATCCTTACGGTGTGTCACTTAGTAAAGGACAATTGGAAAAGCTTTCGCGAGCTTACAATAATAATTCTGCAATAACAATCAGACTTGCCAGAAATGAGTTATCCGGTCCACATGAATTAATGCTCACAAAAACTCAGATCAATAAATTGAGAAAAGCAATGAGCCAGGGTACAGGGGCGGATATCAAAATATCAAAAA